CGATGGTTAGCGAAGGCAATTTACTGTTTAAAAATCTTTTTATTTAAAAAACAATTCAAACTGGCTAAAGTTGAATCATCCAAATTAACTCAAGTTTGTATCTTTATTGTGGACATATATATAAAGGGATGGTATAGTGCACCAAGCAGTGTTCAAGCCCCGTATCAAGATTTTATGTTTTTGAAGAGCTTGTTGGATTTAAAACACATAAACGCTGAAATGTCCAATGCTGCGTGTACCAAATTTCTCAGACATCTTTGGTACTTGTCTGAAGATCTTGCAGCCTTATCATTTTTCGATGAAAGAATCCCAACCGATGTTAAATCAAAAATGGTAAAAGCAATAAAATGTCAGCAAAGTACTACTGATAACACAAGAAAGTTTTATATGGAACAAAAAGATTTAAAATCATTTTTCAATAAAGATATGAGTAACTTTATAACTCAAAAGTCGATGATTTTATTTGAAAAGTTCAATCTACCTTCTAGTTTTCTTGATTTGCCTGTAAATCAATGGGAAGCTGATAAAACATACCAGGATTCTTTGAAAATAATTCGAGCAATTAAGGTTACAAATGACATTGCTGAAAGAGGTGTTGCACTTATCAATAAATATAATGAAGGTCTTACTTACGATGAAGAACAAAGACAATTTTTATTACAAGTTGTAGCTGATCATCGGAAAAAATATCCAGATTGTAGTAAAAAAAATTTATGTTTTTAATAAGTTATCTTGAATAAAAAAATTGTATAAAAATGAAAAACTGATATTTTAATCATAAGAAGAACTTATTACATTTATTTATATTCTAAATAAAAATGCCGTAGTGCTCATGTAAAAAATTGTATGCTCTTGAAAACCAGTGAAATTTCACTGATTTTCCAGTGAATTTTACTAGTTGTACACAGCCTTGGATCTACGAATTTTCCAAACCGGGGCAAGAACTTGACATTGGCACCAGTTTCCTCCAGCATTTGAGTTTAAAGATTTCAAACAATTGAATTAGGCCCCTTGAGTTGTCGCACCGGTTTGTCCGCCCTTGGTTCCGGGGCTGGTTTACTAGCCAATTTCACTGATTAAATTGGTAAATATTAATGGTGAAATGATAAGTAAGATAAACTGGTTCAACCAGTGAACAACTTAAAATTTCTCTGTTTTTTTTACACACCGATCGAATCAGTAAAATCCAACTGTTTATTTTATGAAAGTAGTAGAAAATTGGAAATAAAAATTTCTGCTCGGCCAGAATATTACTTTGCCATTTTAAAGGAATTTTTCTTGCAATGGTACCATGGTAGGTAAGTATTTCTTTATAACAAACAATAATTATTTTTATCAGCAAACTAAGAATTTCTTGTAAATAGCAAAATGATCATAATATTATTATTAAAAATAATACAGAAAAAAATATAAAAAGGTTAAATGAGAAAATCGTCAAAATTTCAAAAAATATATTATTACAAAAATAGTTTATATTATTAGCTCAATGTTAGTTTACTTAATTGAAACGTAAATACTATTTCTTTAGATCATAAAGTTTCCCTAAAAAATTAAATCAATGAGTTTTTTTTGTAAAATAATTTTTTAAATTTATTTAACAACACATATAAATATATTTTTGTTTAAAAATTTGCTCTTTTTAGCTTAAAACAAAAACGTGGGGGATTTTTTAAATTCGGTTAAAGGTCATTTTTGTAGGGAATTTAATTCTCTACAAAACCATATAACGATATTTTTTGTATCTGTTATATTTAATGAATTATAAAACAAAAAGTTGCGAAAAAAAATTTTTTTCATGAAAAATTCTTATTTAAGCGAGCGCTAACTGAATAATGGAGATATGGGGCTAAATTTTTGACACAATTATTTTTTTATGATATACAACCTAATTTTCGTATGGGACCTAAGAAAAAAAAATATTCGTTTAATTTGGCACAGTCTAATGTATACATACTATATATTATATCTATTTAAAAATATTCTATAAGTCTGCATGGACCTAAAGAAAAATTTCTCAAAACCGTTTAGAATTTTGTGAAATCATGACTAATAAAAAAACAAATCAGTTCCAAATACTAAAAAACATTTGCTTTAGCGATGAGTGTACTTTTTATCAAAATGGAAATATTAACAAACAAAATTATCGACATTTTTGACAAGATGGGGCACCACCTCATTATGTACACTCAGAAAAATGTAACTCAGAAAAATGTAATGAAACTAATTTTGTAAGCGATTAATAAAATAATATTATTTATCTTGTCTTATAATATATATAATAATAATATATATATAATAATAATATATTGGGACAAAAACCTACGATTTGTCAAAGTAATGAGATTATTTTTATTTACAGAATAAACTTTTTTTACTGTTAATAAAATTCTCATTTACTATAATGAAGCAGCAATGTTGAGCTTTTATAAAAAAAATGTTCATCCAACAAAGTAATAGTCATGCAATAAGAAATACTTTATGTTTATATTAAATCTTTGTCGAACTTAAAATGTTTTTGTTAAATCTATAGTTGTGTGTGAATTCCGCAGTTCTTATAGTAAAATTTGTTCATTTTACCATGGCATATTTGTCTTTTTTAAATTACTATCGTTGTAATTCAAATTAATTTTATTTCAGTTAAAAAATCTTTGTTGCTTACGTTAAGAAAAATAACAAAAATATTTTATTGCTATAAAAGACTTTTTTAATATTTACTATTGTTTTGCAATGATAACAAAATTTTTGTTATTTCCCTTAAAAAGAGGGGGAAAGGGCCAGCGCTCTCCTTGGTGAACATAACTTTATAATCCACAGTCTGTGTTATAATCTTATAACTTTTACTTGTGCGAGTAAAGTGTGGTAAGATCTAGCATGTTAAAAATATCAAAAAGATCACTAAGAAAATTAAAATTTCGACGTTTTCTAAAAGAAATATTTAAGGTCTATTTTATAAACGAAGCACACTTGCTGTTTAAAGAGTGAGTTCATATTTTTTTATTTTCTACATCATATAATATGAGTTAATTTTTTTGTTATAATAAATAAATTGTTTTAATGCCTTGCAATTATTTAAAAAAACTACCAACACCCAACAGTAGGTTAAAAATATGACCAGTGTTACAAAGAAAAGAGTTTATTGAATTAACAATTAATTTGTTGTTAAATTTACATAAATTTTATTAATATTATAAATTATAATTTATAATACAAGTTTTATTTTAAACGAAAAGGGATTTGAAAAATTTACAAAATTTCTATGAATAATAATGCCATTAGGGTTTCATTAATACTACAAAACGTTTTTGTAAACGGTATAGAACTGTTTTTTTGGGTAAATAATAATAACTATATTTATCAATGCGTTTCTCCATCTGGAAGAGTGTTATTTTTATAAACATAACGTACGTTTACTTTATAATTAATGCAAATGCTACTACTGAAAGCAGCGTTTGTAGATGAATATTTTTTTATAAAAATGATCTTTTTGCCGTAACAAAAGCAATTGTTAGACGAATCTTTACTTTATTAAGACAAACTGGTTTAGTAGCTTTTAGGGCTTGGCTAGATCAAATTATTTGGATTGGTAAAAGAGAACCAATAGAATGGGCTCCTATAGGATCTATAGATCTTCACATCTGACACCATTAGACTTTTCTTATAGAGTCACTTAAAATCTGTGGTCTACAAAACTCATTCTAATGAAGATCTGTGACAACGAATAGTTCAAGAATGTCGAGCAATTTCATTTCAAAACGTTTGAAGGGAATTTGGGAATAAACTGTACTATTGCTTACAAAATAATGAGAGTCATTTTGAGTATTTAATTTAAAAAACTAAAAAGTGTTTTGATTATTGAAACAATTTGTTTATTATACTTTTGTTAAAATTATTTTGTATACTTTAGTTTTTTTACTAATGTTTTAACGATAGCAAAATGGTTTAATTTGATATATTTATAACGAGAAATTTAAATAAATAACTATACAAATTATTTTGCGATTTTTCAAAAATTGAACTATTAAAAAGTATTTTTTTATGTATATTATATACCCTTATCAAAGAATCTCGTTATACTTAAATCCAGATTCCTTAAAAAACACAGAAACTGGGGAATACAAAAAACAATAAAAAGACTTTCATCTATTTACCAAAAGACTTTTCGTTTGCATTTTACATTAATTAAACCAATTTAACTTTTAAAAACCTTTTTAGAAAATATCAATTTAGAAGGCTTTAAAATTAATTGGTTTTAAAATGTATTAAATATATTTTTCTACTCCCACCTTTAAAACGCCCTTTATCGTACATGTTTCCATGACACTAAGTGACCTTTTAAATGCACATTGACAAGTTGTGGCTTTATGGCGTTTTAGTCACGGGCTGAAGTAAGCAACATGTTTTTAGTCACGGGCTGAAGTTAGTTTTAAGTTAGTTGACAGTTGTCAAATGTCATAAAATCGTTAAAATAAAGTGCCTTTCTTGTAAAATAATACTTAATGTGAAAATTATTTTATTACCTCAATACAAAAATACAAAAGTATTAAATAGTTTCTCAACGCCAATATTTGAAAAGTTTACCTTTTAATTTCGCCGGCAGTAAACTTTAACTTAAATTCGGGAACGGACTCCACTGTTGCTCATAAAGCATTTCCTTTACTTTCACTGTGGAAAACTGTCAATTTTCAATATACATTTCGATTTATAACCTTTATAATTGTGTTTATAAAATGTAAAAATGTGACATTTAACAGTTTCCCCTGTTGTTTCATAGATGGCGCTCTATACAAATTTTGGATTTAAATCATTTTAAGATAATAATAAGTATTTGTTGTAGAAAAAGTATAGTATGCACATTCTCTTCTTTTTTACTGTCAAAAAAAACTGCTCTATTTGAGGTTTTAACGCCGGTAGATTCCCAAGTTAGAAATTCTAAAAGGAATTCCAATAAATACAACGGTCAGTTTTCCAGGCACTGATTTAATTTTTTTTTTTCGTTCCAGGTGATGGTGTCAGTTATAACTTTGGTGCTAGTGTCTTGCCTTACGCCGATAGCAAACAGTTTGCTGTGTCCGAAGCCGAATCACTATTTAAACAGCCGCCTGCAAAAGTGCTTGGAGTGCACTGAGTGCCCCAAGGGTCAGCTCGTCATCGCCCCCTGCGACGTTCATAGGGACACTATTTGCGGCCCTGTCGAGGAGTTTTTGAGGAGCGTCGACGAAAACAGACACAGGTAAAACAAAAATATTTTTTTTAATTTTTTTATTTCAATTTAATTGTAAAATTGCAAAATAATCGATCCACACAAATTTTTGATGAATTTCAATCGCAAATAACTTTTTTATTTGATTTCAGATTTAAACAAATATTAAAGAATATTGTAGATACATTAATGGAGAATCGCTCACATTAAAAAAAAATATTAAAAAATACACGTACGTTTATAATATACAGGTTTAAACAAAAAGATGTTTTTTACCATAAGTTTAAGACACTCTGTAGAGTGGCAAAACCGTATATTGTTATAAATTGTTATAATTAATTATCAAGTCACATCTATTTTTAACAGTTTTGTTTTTGGTTCACCTTGATATATTTATTTTTGTGAAAAATATGGATTTTTTAAAAAAACATTGCAATTTCCAATATTTTTCCTGTATGAAGAACTAAGCTTGCTATGGTCCATCCATAGCCTATGGAGGATGACAGTGACAGTTCTGTTGAATCATCCCATACTTGGACATGTCATATACAGCTTTCAAAAGCTATCAAATTGTTTTTTGTAAACTAATTTGTTAATTTTGAGGTGTCTTCTTACTTTTAAAAATGTCCCCGACTGATGTTGCCCTTTGTACTTTACTTCTTGTGACGTTTAAAACACTTGACACGTAATACTGTGACCGCCGATCCTGGATTAAATTAATGGCTCTGGAAACATCAGTCGGAGACATATCCATTTTTTAAAGTAAGAAGACACCTTAAAATTTAAACATTAATTTGCAAAAAACAATTTGATAGCTTTTGAAAGCCGTGTATGACATGTCCAAGTAGGGGATGATTCAACAGAACTGTCACTGTCATTCTACATAGCATATGGATGGACCATAGCAACCTTAGTTCTTCATACAGAAAAATATTGGAAATTGCAATGTTTTTTATTTAAATCCATATTTTCCACAAAAATAAATATATCGAGGTGAACCAAAAACAAAACTGTTAAGAATAGATGTGACTTGATAAATAAAACTTAATTTAGAACAATATACGGTTTTGCCACTCTACAGAGTGTCTTAAACTTATAGTAAAAAACATCTTTTTGTTTAAACCTGTATATTATAAACGTACGTCTATTTTTTAGTAATTTTTTAAAATGTGAGCGATTGTCCATTAATTTATCTACCATATTCTTTAATATTTGTTTAAATCCAACATCAAATAAAAAAGTTATTTGCGATTGAAATTCATCGAAAATTTGTGTGGATCGATTATTTTGCCTGTAAGTGTATACACTCAATATATTGCGTCTTGATTCATCGAGAAATTGGAAGATTATAAAACAATCATAATTTAAGTTTTTTTTTTTAAACAAATTACCAACTAATTCCATCTTATAACACGACTAGAACCATCGTAACACGCCTAAAATATGTTGAAACGAAATTAACTTTTTACAAAACCAATTAAACTTAGATTTCATCTTCCTAATATCAAAATAATTCCTCACAAGTTAAACCATAGACGTTCCAAAACATTCCGAAAAAAAATAATTTTATCTCCACGCGGTCTATAATTTAAACTTTATTGTTGTCAACATTCGATAAAGAAATACCTTGTTATGGCCTAGGCCGATAAAATTTTTTATGAGGCAAGTAATTAGTTCGATTTTTTCTCGCTAGGGGTATTGTTTTGACAAATTAATCCTTTTCTAAGAAATTAACGTACTAAACTGGTTTAATTTATTTATAATAAGCACTAATTTGTTTGTTTTACTGTAATGTTTAATATTTTTCATTAAATTATTGTAAAATTAAATATGAATAATAAAACAAAAAGTGAGGTTAGGCAACCAAGAAAACGCACGATTCTTTTTGTACGATTTAAATTATCTTTAAGTTTTAATTTGCTTTAAGTTTTCAGTGAAATTAAATGTTAAACACAGCTAAACATTCCAAACTACGTATTTTTTAAATAAAAATTCAAACAAATTGAAATTAGAAACCTACCTATTTATTAAACAATTAATTGAATTCAATGTAATAGCAAAAATCCATTTCTACTTAAATCATGTAGCTAGGTATTGTCAAACTATTACTGCTTCTAAAAGCAATAATAATTATTGTACATTTAATGTAATATTTAGCTAATAAATAAATAAGATTCTAAAAAAGTGAGGTTAGGCCGCTTTGATGTTGAATTAAATTGACCTATATAATGTGCTTTGAAGATAAAATGTTGTATGCGATTCGGCCAAGAAGTGCCTTTTTGTGCTTCGCTCAATTGTAGGCCTCCGCTAAGCGTCGGCCTTCAAACCTTGAGCTTAGCACAAAAAGCCTTACTTCTTAACCTAATGACATAAATAACTATTTCTGGATTGTATACCTAACACTTTCCAGACACAAGCACAAGCATCACCATCGCCAGCACGCGGGCCCCCACAAACTGGACCCGGCCCTCGTCAACAACAATGTACCGATGGACGTGCAGATGGCCGCTTTGGACGCCGACGCCCCCTTCACCAGCGCCGAGACGCTGATCTGGGACTGGCAAGCCGTCGTGCTCACCCTGGCCGTTTTCGCTTGCATCATTTTCTTCGTCGCCATCACTCTGTACTCCCTGCACCAGGCGAGGCAATGGAAGAGACTAAAAGACACGTTCGAAGCTGGTAAGCGACTCGATTTGGTTTTATAAGGGTTGTAAGAACTTCTATAGCGCTAAAAAGGCTTTATAAGGGGATTTAGGCTCATGAATATCACATGGTTTTAAATGTCAAAATAATAATGTTTTTAGTGACTACATTTTGTTTTTATAAGGGCTCTAAGAACCTGCATAGACCTTGTTTTGGTTTTATAAGAGTTTTGTAGATTTTAAAAAGTTTTTGGACTGGTTTTCGAAAAATTAAAATTGGATTTATAAGATCTTTAAGAACGTTTATAAAACTTTTTTGGTTTTCTAAGAATTTTAGAGCCCAGTTTTATGAACCGAATGATGAGATTAAAGGGATCAAAATCATGTTTTAAGTATAAAAAACTTTGTTTTAAAGATCTTTAATAGCGCTGATAGAACTTGTTTTGGTTTTAAAAGGGTTTTATAGCTTTTGATAGGTTCTTGGATTGCAAAATAATATTTAAGGCATTTATTACAAAAATTATGTTTTAAGTGTCTAAAGAATATTATACAAATGATTGTACAACTTGTTTTGGTTTTATAAGGGTTATAAGAACTTGTATAGGGTAAGGGGACTCATATTATATCTTATATGGTTTTATATTTCTAAATTTAGATTTTAAAGGGTTTTGTAGATTTTGAAAGGATTTTGGACTGGTTTTTGAAAATTGAAATATAAGGCATTTATTACCAAATTTAATGTTTCAAGTAACTAAATTTGGATTTATAAGATTTTTAAGAACGTTTATAAAACTTTTTGGTTTTCTAAGGATTTTTTAGACCAGGTTTATGAACCGCATGATGAGATTAAAACCAAAATTATGTTTTATAAGATCCTTAAAATTGCTTATAGGTTTTAAAAAAGTTTTGTAGCTTTCTATAAGTTTAGGGACTGAAATGAGGTTTAAGGCATTTATAAGGAAAATTATTTTTAAGTGGCTAAATGTGGATTTATAAGAATTTTAAGCATGTTGAGACGACTTGTTTTGGTTTTATAAGAGTTTTGTTGCTTTCAACCAAAATTATAAATTTTAAGTAAAATTTGGTTTTATAATATATTTGGGAACGTAGAAACGATAGGGATTTTATAGCTTTCGACAGGTTTTTAGACTGCGAAATGAGATTTAAGTGATCAAAATTATGTTTAAGGTGACTAAATTTTGTTTTATAAGATTTCTCAGAGCGTCTAGAATTTGTTTTGATTTTAAAAGGTTTTTTGTAGCCTTTGGGCTGCAAAATGAGATTTTAAGGCATTTATAACAAATATTATTTTTTAAGTGACTAAATTTGATTTTATAACAATTTTAAAACGGTTATACAACTTGTTTTGATTTTATAAGGGTTTTTTAGCTTTCGATTTAAATGACTTGATTTGGTTTTATAAAATATTTGGAACGTTTATAGAACTTATTTTGGTTTTATAAGGGTTTTTATAGCTTTTAACCAAAATATTATAGAACGGGTTTTATAGAGGTTTTGTATCTTTTGAACTGCAAAATGAATGAAAATTAATCATAATATTTTAACTGACTAAATTTGATAAACGATCATTGACATTTATATAATTTGCTTCATTTTTATTAGGGTTTTGTAGCTTTTGATTGATTCTTGAACCGCAAACCGCAAAATAAGGCTTTGATTACCAAAATTATTGTTTTGTTATAAAATTTGGTTTTATAAGATCTTTAAGAACGTTTATAGAACTTGGTTTGGTTTTATAAGAATTTTGTAGCTTTCGATGGGGTTTTGTACTGCAAAATGAGCTTTAAGTGACTGAATTTGGTTTTATAAGTTTATAACAACTTGTTTTAGTTTTATAAGGGTTTTGTAGCTTTAGACAGGTTTTTGGACTGCATAATGAGATTTAAGGCATTTATTAGCATTATTATAATGTTTTAAGTAACTAAATTTGGTTTTATAAGATCATTTATATAATTTGTTTTGATTTTATAAGGGTTTTGTTGCTTTCGATGCTTTGCTACTACATTAGGTTTTATAAGATCCTTAACAACGTTTATATAACGTTTTGGTTTAAGGATTTTGTAGCTTCCAACAGGTTTGTTATATTGAAGCTGTAAGGACGTTTATAAGCCTATTTTGGTTTTAGAAGGATTAATCTGTATTTTTGGCATATTTTTAACTTATAATTAGTGTTAAAAAGTTTTAGCATAAGAGACCTTGAATTTTCTCCAATGTCTTGTTATTTTTAATTCTGAAATGTAAATGTATATTAAAAACATTAATTCTGAATATAAATAGCACGAGACTGTTTATACAATACCTATATCGAATCGGCAAATATTATTTTCCGTTATTTCGGAAACAGTTTATTTTTTTCTCGGTTAAAAGTTAAATTTACTTAACCTGTAAATATTTTCGTGCTGGCTCGAATCCAGCCCGCTTCATATTTCGATATTATTAAATGCCTGCATCTCAAGCCGTAAAACTTTCATTTCTACACAGGAATTTTATTTAATTTGAATCAGTTAATCGCATGACTTGTTCTTCGCCTCTTGGCAGACGATCAAAATTTAATATTTTTCTGTGTTGAGAGGTTTTCTGCTGGCTTCGTCTCTTAATGGGCAGAATTGCGAACAAAAACTTCAAAAGTTATAAGGCATTTAGTAAAATAACGTTTTTTTAAACTTGTTTTAAACCAATTATATTATTATTATGATTATTTTTTAGTATAATTTAACTAATACAAGAAACCTAGTAGTAATATTATTCACTAGTTGAAATATTGAACTTAACTTTTGTTACCCTATCTTATACAGAGTGTTCACAAATTAAAGTCAAACATTTTAAAAAATAATGGTATATAAATAAAAAGATGTAATAATACTTAAAAGATTACTTTTGCATCTCTAGTGGCTACTCTTTAATCTAGGTTTGCCTTAAAGTGCATTCATTAAAATTTAGATCAAGAAGACGTGCAGTCTGCGCCTGCTGCGACATACAAGCTATTTTAAAATTGGCGAGACACTTTTGGAGCCAGTGACAAACTCTCTGAATGAAGACTGTTTTATTCCAAATATTTTAATGGGCATTTTACCGTCTCGCAAAAACTCATTACGTAAATATAGTTGTGCGACCTTACGAAAATACAACATAATATTTTTTCGATAATTTTTTTTTCATGTCATTTGAGGACCATAGTAATTTGTAGGCGAAAAGGAAACAGAGGCGTGTCATTTTAATGATGTGTTAAAAATTAAGAATATCCGTATAAAATTCCCTAAGGAAACGGCCACCGGAAGCCGTCTTAGATGCACACTGTAACCGTCTTTTCTCTCCGACGTCATAAATAAAAAATCTTCCTTTTCCGAGTTTTCACGTTACGTCTATGTTGACTAGTGTAAAAAATATTGTGAGTATGATTCTAATTTCCGTTTTATATAAATAAACATACTTCATCACACGTGCTGTGAAATCGATATAAACAATTGCCGGCTACCACTACCGGCAGATGTTTCCCCAACAGCGCTGCCTGGATTGATGACTTCAATGCACACATTACGAGGTGTATGGAAAATCGCAATTTATTTCTCTTTCGACGTTTTATTTTTACACTTTCAGGAAATAATGTATATCTCAAATAAAGATATTTACTTACTGAGATAAGTTTTTTATTGGGTTAGTCCGCAGTAGATTAGCCGAGGAAATGAGAAAAGTATCTACTTTAATACATCTGTGGTTTATTAAAATATTATTAAGTTTTAAAATAGAAATTTAAAAATTAATTATAGGAGGATATTTAGAGACAATTTTCTTCCAGTTAATTCTACAAAATTGTATGAAAAAAGTTGGTTTGATAAGAATTTTAAGCACGCTTATACAACTTGTTTTGGTTTTGTAAGGATTTTGTAGCTCTCAACCAAAATTATAAAATTGTTCGTATAATTTAGTGAAAATTATGCTTAAAGTGATTAACTTTTGTTTAATAAAGGACGTCTATAGAACTTGTTTTGATTTTAAAAGGGTTTTATAGCTTTTGGACCTCAAAATGAGATTTAAAGGCATTTATAGCGAACAATATTTTTAAGTGGCCAAATTTGGTTTTATAACAATTTTAAGAACGGTTACACAACTTGTTTTGGTTTTATAAGGCTTCTGTAGCTTTCGAGAGGTTTTTGAACTGCAAAATGAGATTTTTATAAATCTCAAATCTTTTTAAATGACTACATTTGGTTTTATAAAATATTTGGAAAGTTTATAGAACTTATTTTGGTTTTTTAGCTTTTAACCAAAATTATAATGTTTTAAGTAAAAAAATGGTTTTATAAGATCTTCAGGGACTTGAATAGAACGTATTGGTTTTTATAAAAGTTTTGTATCTTTGTCCCGGTTTTTGGACTGCAAAATTACTGAAAAAGAATCATAATATTTAACTGTCTTTATTGGGTTAGCCCGCAGTAGATTAGGTGAGGAAACGAGAAAATTATCTACATTAATAGACCTGTGGTTTATTAAAATATTAATAAATTTTAAGAATTAATTAAAAGATATTATTCAGAGACAATTTTTTTCCAGTTAAATCAACAAAATTGAATGGAAAAAGATATATAACTTGTTTTGGTTTTATAAGGGTTTTCAACCATAATTATAAAATTGTGAGTAAATGATGATGAAATTGATGGGTTCTTGGACTGCGAAATGAGATTTAAGTGACCAAAACTATGTTTAAAGTGTTTTGTTAAATATGATTTCTCAGAACGACTAAAGAACTTGTTTTGATTTTAAAAGGGTTTTGTAGCTTTTGGACTGCAAAATGAGATTTTAAGACATTTATAACTGACATGATTTTTCAAGTGGCCAAATTTGGTTTTATAACAATTTTAAGAACGGTTACACCAACGGTTTACAACGGTTACACCAATGGTTTCACCAAAAGAAAATATAATAAGATAATATAAGATATTTAGAGACGTTTCGGGAATGATTTGGTTTTATAAAGGTTTTGTATCTTCCTACCGGTTTTTGGACTGCAAAATGAAT